CTGGCTACAGTAAGCTGCCCTCAGTTGTTCTTTGCTGTCCCAGGGAAACAAACACCAAGTGATTTATCGCTTAAAGATTTAAAAACAATTGAGACGCAATTCACTGGAAAAGCAGAGACAAAGACACAGACAGGGCTGCTAAACTGAGCTGCAACTGCCCCTCTGCTTTCCCTCCCAGCCCATTTAATAACTTTATTGCGTTAAATATGGGAGGCAAGGCTCACACAATAACAACCCCAGTAGGAAACCTACTTGTATTCTGAGGGGATTTGCTTGCTGGACCTGGCACTAGCCATGCAAACGCTTGCAGCATGGGACTGCACATGCATGTGTACTAATAAACCCCTCGACGGTTCAGCTCTAACGAGTGAGGCTCAGTCACAACGGCTGAACTGCCAGCAGTGGCACAGGCATAGCAGGTCAGCAGCAAATGCCACCTTGGTCGCACAAACGGTGAGGACACAGGTGGAAGCCCAGCAGAGAACCTTAGGGCATAGAGCCCAAGAGGGTCAGCTTCATTTTGATGCCTTGGTTCAGTTTATTGCACACATGGGTACACATTCTAAACACTCAAAACTATGCCAAAACGATCATTAAGGATGTGGAAAACCATGTCAGAAGGATCATTAAGTCTGCCTAGGCAAATATTAAAAAAATATCTATACCACCTTAATTTGACACTTCCTTTGAATTAGTCTTTAGTTAAGAGTCTCATTATTTTGTTTTCCACAGGACCACAGTGTCTTTTAGTTCAATAAGAAGTATTTTTTTGCCCCTTCACATTCTACAAGTAGCCCCAAGCCTTATTTAAGGCACACAATCCAACTCCTGTATGGAGCATAGCATTAGGAACTTCTACAGATATAGGCCCTGTATGTTAGGTGAGTACAGTCCTGACAAAACCAGTGGATCTGCAGGGGAAGATTCAGAGCCCCTAAACTAGGAACATACTTTTCTTCAGTGACCACACAGCAAACCCAGATGTAAGACAGTGAGCACTGCCCTATGCCTTTGAGATGTGTGTGGTACCGGTATCAGCTGAGTCCTTCTCAGGTACAGCTGACAAACTACAAAGGAGCATGGTGTTTCAGAGTTGATCTTTGCAACCCTGCTGTATCACGGGGATAACAACATATATTACAGGTTTAAAGAACAGGTTGACAAGATGAAAACAAGAACCCTGGCAGTTTTGGGTGCTTAGCACATGCACCTGATCTCCAGTGTCGCAGAGCCCTGGTTGTGTATCAAACCAGCAAAGCTCCTAACTGCTTAAGCTACCTTCCAGAGAAATCAGCATTTCTGCATATCTGAATCAAGCAACTCATGCTGGGTGCCAAAGGACAGAAAAGCACAAGTGATCTGCAAAAAAAGCTGACATGGTCAGCTGCTTCAGTCCAGGAAAGCATCACACTTCACTGTGTCTTCTCTGTAGTTTCAACAAGGCCATCCTTCCTCTTAAGCTCTATGAAGCAGGGGCCCTGCAGAGAAGAGTTTCACTGCGCTCTGCTGATTCAGAGAATAAATCTGCGCAGGGCATGAGGCAAGGATTGGGTGAAGACAGGATGATACGTAAGTAACGACTGTCACACATTGCAGATGCATGACAGGACTGAAGCTGCAGCTCCAAATCACAGCAGCCAAGCTTAGCTTTTGAGGATTTGATTTTATAGCTACAGTCTGGATTTATAACGTACCTCCTTATTTAAAGATCATTTTTTCAAAAAGGTCTTCTAAGATCTGGACTTGTATCAATGCTAAAACAGGCATCAGCAGCTGCACTGAAGCTCCTTACGTCTGCAGTCCAGCTCTACCAAAAATAATTGATAGCAATAGCGGGCTGTTGCAATGCACGCAACTTACACTCACCTGACAGGTTTGACACATTTTCTCTGCAGTATAGTAACACAGAGCCTCGGGTCTCTGAGGCTCAGTTCCAGATTTTGGAGAAGAGCAGCCAGTGGGCACAGTGTGTGTGCCTATAATCCATCCCAGGCTTTCTCTCCTCTCCAAATGCCTCTGCTCCTCATACTTGTATGCCACTTTCTCTACCACCTGCTCTTCCTATAGTTATCCCAGCTGCCTACACTCTGAGTCCTGCTTCACCTTCTTTCTTCTTCTGCTCAGAGCTTCTCCTAAGCTCCTGCTCACCTTGTTTTTAGCCCTCTGAATTTCTATGTGTTGCTTCTCCCCATCTCCTTTCACGTTCCAGGTTCACCTAAGGGAGCAGACCAGGCTGCTTGCTGCCTTTAGGGGCTGTGCTCTTCCACAGAGGTCAGATGATGAAAAACTCCTCTGTATTTGTAGCAGACATTCCTAGCAGGTGCTACACAATTATTAGATTTCATATGCTTTTACAAATTATATTCAAGTGTATTTTGCAACTATCCTGTGTTTTCAGACTTCTCTGAAATTTAAAAGACGATTATACAGAGGTGCAGAACTGGCACAGAAGAGTTGCACCTAGATGTAAGTGGTTGGGCCAAGGCTGATCCATCATACGTGCTCTAAGATTCCCTTGCATCCTATAAAGACTATTAGATACTCAGCCCAAGTGCAGTAGTCCTGAAGTCCAACAATGTAACTTTCCACATGCCGATTTCCTTACCAGGTAAAATTCTGTACAACTATCCAAGGGGATGAAGGGTTAACTTCAGCACACACTAATTGCATTTGAGGGAATCTAAATACATTATTTGTAAGCTTTATGTTTTTGGCATCTCAAAATGAATCTGTCAAGCTAATGATATTCTGAGAAGGTCTTAACGTTTCCAGTGCTGTAGGAAGTACAGGACTGCTGACACCTGCAGCAGGTGGTAATGCTCCCGGTAAGTCAGCGCTGAACCACTGAGCATCAGAGTGCAGTCTTTTGGATAAGACAAGCAGAGTCCAGCTCTTCTTCACAGTCACTCAGTGGCCTGCAGCTCGCTTCACAGCGGGAGTTTTGGACTTTGCTTCATGGCCAAGTTCCAACTCAGGCGATTGCATCTGAACTGAGTGTCCTCTGCTGCTTCTGTTGGATGGGCACAGAAACACCTTGCTATTAAATGACACTACTTTGAGTGAACGCACTACACGCTGACATGTCTGGTGACAATGCACAGCAACACGTATGTGCGGTAAGTATCGATTACCATCCTGCCCATAAACCTACTGGCAAGATTAAACTAGATAAAGCATGCTGTGTCAACAGGAACAGCATGGAAGGACAATCCCGACACAGACAGATCTGCTAGACAAAACTTTCTGCGTAAGAAGAAAGCTGCCTGTACAAGACAGGAGGAGAGAGGTAGAGAAGACTGTCTGTCCATCCCACAATCGACAAGAAAGAAGGGGGCTGAAGCCAGCAGACAAAAAGCAATGCTACGTTTTAAGGCAAACAACATGCACCTCAAAAGGTTGAATTTAGATAGAAGATTTATGTCTCTCAGCAGTGCGAAGGTCTGTGGGATGCAGTAATTTTTTTTTGGGAGGGGGGCAGAAAGAACATAAAAACCCTATAAACACACTAGGCAGCACCAGGTTTCACAAAGTTTCAGATTGGTACATCAGTCACAATAGAAATCTCTTTTTCCCCCTCCCTCATTGACAGCGGGCCACCAAGTACTGCACGTGGGGACTGGAAGACAAATGGGCAGCTGCCTCTAGAGACAATTGTGAGGAGACTAAAGATCAACTTGCAGCTGGCACTTCCACCCCCACCTCTCCTTAATACTTCAGTCCACTTGCTGCCAGACAAGGATCATGAGTCAGCTCCTAAACATACTCTCCTTGAAACAATAGCTATAGCTCTCTGCTGCAGCTATACCACTACTTTGGCTCCAAGGGACATGCCACAGTTATGGAAACAAAAGGAACTGATTTTAACCTACAGCAGCCCAAAACCAGAACCGAACGATACCATAAGCATGCACTAAAGAATACCGTGCTAAACCTGTGAGATTAGCAAAGCTAATTTTGACATGTAACAGGCATGAAGTCTGCGATGACAATCTGCAGAAACAGAACATGGAAGTGTTTTGTGGGCTACAAGGTAAAGCAGATGGCTTTTGCATAAACCTTTTCAGCTACGACGGGGTGCAGTTCGATACCACAGAACTGTACACTGCAGTACTAATTAGAGTGCAAAGGAGCCAATTTAGACTTTACAAATTAAGTTTATCACAGCCATAGGAGCTGCTCTCTCAATCCTGAGTAGCCACCACTCATTGAAACTCCGGTGTTCACAAAGGTGGAACTCCAATGCTCCATCTCTTGAGGACATTTCAAGAAGGAAAAATCTTCCTTTTGAAAGGACAACATTTCAGCTTACCAGATAACAACATCCAACTTTAACTTTTCTGACCCAAGTGCTGTCAGTTGATAAAGAATTCAATGAAAGGGTAAGAAAATGCATTGAAGATTTCTCAGAACCAGTGATAAAAAAGAGCTGTGCACATAGTAAAGGTTAGACATGGGAGAGTCTATGCCCATATAAAGCACTCTCAAGAAATATTAGCACCCAGATCATGCCTTACCTGCAGACAGTCCACTCGTACCCTCTAAAGAGGTGTTGCTGAAAGAGCTACAGCGTAAGCTGACATGTTAAGAAACTTAAGTGAATGCTACATTTTTATTTCTAGCTAAGGAATAGGTAAAACCAGTTGTCCTTTCTCTACTCACCATAACTTATGTTTCTTACACCTGAGTACTGCCAATTACTTTGAAGAAGTCTCTAACCCAAAATACCAACGTGTCTTGAGCCACGTTATCCTACAAGCCGGAAGGCAACTTTGAGATAGAAATAAAAGACTACACCACAACATGTTCACAGAGACAGGACAATTAAAGAAAAATCTGCTTCTCCTCCTGCAGGCCCCTGACAGGTGTGTTTTGTGGGACTGCGCAACACAAATTAGAAGGTTTTAATGTTAATGCACTGCATTGATTTTACCATCAACATAAATGTGAATCATCTATACGTTCTGTATAAAAAACCAGCAGACTACATACATATGTATCTTTTAAATTATTTTATTTTGTGTAAGCTAAAAGGAAATTTACACACTTAAATCTCAAAAGACCTTGGGCATGCACATTGACCTTTTTAGAGGTTCTTCTACATAGCTCTCTTTTTTCCATAGGAATTTCCCCAGACATTTACAACCCATAGTTTTTTACTGTATGTACAGCCTAAAACCATAGCAATCTATGATTATGTCATTTTACACTGTGCAAAATCAAACAGGAATAGTGGTACAACAGAACATAAAAATTTTTAAACAGGTAAATTTCATTGTAAGACATTCATATAGTTTTGGTCCTTCTTTTCCAAATCAAACTGATTAAAAGCAGATAACCTTCTAATGACCCCTCCCAAAATCAAGTATTTAGACAGTGATCCATAACTGGAACAAGAAGTTACTGACAGCATACCTTTCAAAAGGCTATAATAGTGACAGAGCCATACTACTGAAGTTTAAGAACATAAAAATTGATCAGCCAACCAAACAGGGGGAGGGGATGGGGGAGAAAAAAAAGGAAGAAACACATCTTAAGCTTGTTAAAAGACAAAAGAAATTATTGGGGTTTAAAAAAACAACAACAACTGAAAACCCACAAAGGGACAATGTAACCTTTTGATGTTTGGGTGGTTTTTTTTTTTTGTTTTTTTTTTTTTTTTTTTTTTTTTTTTTTCCAGCAGTATCTTACTATATGCAGGAAAGATGCTCAATGCAATCTGAAAAACTTTAAGGGGGACTTCACAGATTGTGAAGACTGAAGTTTTCATTATGTGTTTCTAGGATTTTTTTTTTTAAACTTTTTAAAGTTTTATAAGAAGGACACCACCAGTGTATTTCACAAAGACATAAATGTATACACCCCAGCACAACAAAAAGAATAGATCTTCAAAAAGATTTACCCCCAATTATTTACATTTTTCTCTAATATAAATTTAGGACTCCAGTATGTAAATAAATATACATTACTATGTATACCTTTCTAGTGCTGCTTACCAACAAATCATCTGAACTTGATTTTTTTTTTTTTAATTAAAGCAAGATTGCTTTTCACGACCCACAGAGGGAAGAAAAAAAAAATCAGTAGAAAACGTCCAATTCACATCACTTTAGTCTACCTTTTCTTGGCAGCTTGTTGAAGGTGTTAATGTGGCTGGGAACATCAACACCTTGGCATGCATGAAAGTTAAGTCAGGAAGGCTAGAAATCACCTTGGCAGCCTCTTCACTAAGATGTTCTTCCTTTTTAGGCTTCCTGTTGAGAAGAAAAGAACAAAGTACATTAATCCACTACCTGATATCCCTGGGATCACTGAAAGAATCACTGATTGAAGCAATGCTCTGTCAGTTTGTCTCCCACTGACAGGCACTTCTGTAAGCTACTTGAAGGTAGTCTAACGTTATAATACCTACCTGCCTACTAACAAAATGTTAACATAGAAAGTCAGCAAAATGTTCCTGTATATTGTTGCAATAAGGAAAGAAAAAGATTTCCTATTCAGATGCTAATTTTTATATATTTTTCTTTTTTTCTGTCAGGTTCCAGACTCACTTGAAGAGACAACCATGCTCATATTCTAGGGATAAGACAATAGAAGCATTAGTTTTGAACTACCTAAATCCAATATAATCTTTCAAAGTGGAAAAATCTTGGAAGGACATTAAGAAGTTCCTAACTTACTACTTAATACTTTTAAAATAGAAAGGTACTTATGGTGCGTTTCCAACACAGCTGTTCTCAGATTATACATCATACTGCTCTACATCGTGATCCACAAACCCTTTTTCCCCCCCCCGGGGCTCAGCAGCAGCAAAAGGTGGCTCACAACTTGTAGCTACTTGCTTTGAAGTGCAGTAGTATGTGTAGCCGTAACAATACACGCAGCACTTTGGGAATCACTTGGTGTCTACTTTGCCTTTTGCATTATTCACAAGAATTACTGAGCACAAATGAATAAAGAGGTCTGAATCCCACATCGATTGGTTCTCACTATTATGCAAAAAACTCACATTTCCTAAGTAAAATGAAGCCTGGCTCAGACCGCTACAGAAGACCCCCCTCCCCTGCCCAAACATCCACACTGTACAGAGGTCTGGCTTATTTTTGAAGAATGCCGCCTATTACTAGAGATGTTCGGTTTTCCATCAAACGTTATTCCAGCCCCAAAAAGGCACTGCTACACCCTGTAATGACATTAGAAATTCTAGGTAAATAAGCTCTCCCATCTCTGGGGCAAAAAGCTCAGACTTGGCTTGATCCAAATAAACTGCCTTTCCCTAGAACACTTCAGAAATTTCCTTTCTAATATCTTAGCTTTAAACTTTAAACTGAGCCCATAAGAGGGCAATGACCATTCCGATCATGAAGCAGCATGTACTTTATTTTCTTCTGTCAGAACCCATCAGGATTGTTTCTTAAGCTGATCAGAGATCAGGGAAAAGCAAGGGGCTAGGTGTTTGCTTCAGCAGCAGTCTCAGAATTTTTTAGCTAGGAGGAGAAGATAAAAAGAGCTGGAGTCAAACTCATCCTTGACATCACTGATCGTTGTGTTGACACTGAACTATCACTTTTGTTTGCTACTTGAAATCTCCACTTGATGAAAGACCTCTAGATGAGGCAGCCTAGATACTAAATCTGACTTTCCTTCACTAGAATAGCAATATTTTCTTTTCTCTGCTGCAGTGGAATTTCATGAGCCACTGACTAGGCAGATTACCAAATTCTGGAAGATAAACAAAGCTGTGTGCTGGATTTACTGAAGGAAGAAGCAGAGAGCCAATATGTGGCTCCTTCTTTAACAGCTTCAGTCAGCTCTGTTTGCACTCGAAGGACTATCTCTTGAGCTGTTGAAATGTGGTTCTCAGCCACCACTGTGTTATCAGTATCTGGTGCCACTATCAGTAATCACTTACCACAAGCCTCTTAAAGGTACAAACTCCTGGTGATCGAGGACTTACAGCTAACAAAGGAGTGTCTGACAGAGGAAGCCAAAGGAAGAGGGCTAACTCAGAGATCTGCACTAAAAGGAGTTCCTGTAATTGTTAACCAGGCACCAAGATGGAGCTCCTTGCTATTTATATGCCTCTTGCTCCTCTGCTCAATTGTGGCATGCCAAGAAATGGCACTGCTAGGTCCCAGAGGCAGCATGGCATTTTATTTGGTGGTCATATGCAGGAACTTTATCACAGGATGATGCTATTTCTCTCACTGTACTAGCTGGTCTCTGCAATACCACTACAGAACATGCGCACCAGTGAGCAATCAGATGTGAATCTCACCTGATTACTGAATGCTCTCCTCCTCGCTGGAGGCCCTTTGCCATAATTCATCTACTTAATGTGTCTATAAAGAAGGACAAACTAACACACTAACACAGAAAACATTACTTAACTATGAACAAGTTACAGCTATAGATACAATGCCTGGGTAATGAGGCTCAGAACCTGTTTTTATCATCTCAGTGCAGAGAGGGACGAGATAGCCCCAAGTCTCCCATTCCTTGATGGAGAGCGCCAGGTTCCTCTGGAAGACAATAAAACTGGACACTGCAACTACCCTTTTCCAGGTAACAGTGAACACCTTTGTAGCAAATAATCACCACGGAAACCATAAAGAATTACTCACTAACTCTCTAAATTTAAAAGACAAAGTAGCGGATTGTTTTTTACCCTTAAAACTTGCCAAACTAATACTGCTGTGTCTTTTTATAGAGGCGAGAGATATAACCACGTTGGGTACATTAATTTCAGTCACCACTTTTGCTGAAGATGCTCCCAATGTCAAGAGCTTCTTTTGCTAAAGCCTGGTCTGGGGGGTGGGGTGAGGTGTTGCAAAGCTTCTCCTGCTCATGCACTCTTAACTTCTGGGTACCATGGCGTAAAAATGGACATTCAAGTAAATGGCTTGTCCATGGCAGCTGTACTACTTCTGCCTGCTTTGGAAAGAAATTTTGATTACTAAACCACAAAAGGACCCAGCACTGGCTCAAAACAAGGTCTCCAAGTAATTCAGGCTTTAAACCTACCCTCCACAGAACACTTTGCCCCATCCATCTCTTCTCTTACACTAGGTTACATTTCCTCCCGAGAGAAAGGACAAGAAGGGATGCCCTCATCCAAGCAATTGTGCCAGTCCCTCTACCTGTTGGCATAAAGTTTCCCTTTCAAAGGCATGTTAACATTAAGCTGCAAGATATAAGACAAACTGATGAGCAGGAAAGTTGTTGGAAGAAAAGTTAGCAAGAAATAGGGAATGCTTTGCCAATGTGTCACTCACATTGTGTTTTGCATTCCAACCCCTTCCTGCAGTCTTTCAGGACTTCAGTCATCTCTCAGGTTTGAAAAGGGTTTTGTGGATAGCACCAGCAAGGCCAGGCTCTAATAGCAATGAGCTGATTAGAGAAACACACTTTAAAAATTGCTTTGTAATTAAGAGTCAGCCTGCTCCATCCAACACTGCCCCCAAGGAGTATTTCCAGTTTAAATGAGGCTTTCAGACATTTCTTGGAAAGGTATCAGTGCTCTGCTTTCCTTCAAAAAGACAATGGCTAAACTTTTGCTCTCTGTCAATTCTATGGAACCGGGCAAGGCTGCAGAGTCTTTGTGGAATGCTGTACTGGATCCCTGACCTTCAACACTTATTGCTGCCATCAAGATTTCATGCTCAATCGGAGGGGGAAGCTTCCCTTCCTCTCCCAACACTTTCCTTCTGAGAAACTGACTTGAGAGATGGATTTGCAAGCAGAAGACAGGGCTGTGTCAGACAAAGACAACTCTTCACATGGCTTCCTACAGCTGAACAATGGTATTTTCACACTAAACTTTACCCCCAAGATCTTGAGTTCAGACAAGTTACAGATATGGGATAGCCTCAGCACAACTGAGGTCGCCATCAAAGTGATGTTAAGCCACTGGCCACATCTTCCACTGATCAGTTATCATGAATGGCTAATAGTCCTTATTTCCAGATTGCTGCATGAATAACATCCTTGTTGAGCTGGCTGTACCCAACCATTCCAATTTTAAAGCCTCCAGTTCATTAAGAAAGAATAATTAAAAAAAAAATCAAAAGGAAAAAAAATTTATTATAAAAAACTAACATAATGCAACGTTTGGCATACTGCTGAGATAAGACCTTCTTATTTCTCTGAAGGTTTCTAGCTTAAAAACAAACACAGACTGCTTTTCTTCTGGAGAGCGTGAAATCAAAAAACAAAAAACCACTTGACATTATTAAAATTGAGAGCTGACACAAACATACAAAAATGTATTGAACACTAAAACCAGCTGCTTTAAATCAAACAGCTACACCTCATGTGTGTCTGAACTTAACTGCCAAATTTGAGGTCCCCAGCCTCTCTCTATAGCCTGATATACTGCTATAGCACCATCTAGAACCTCTTCCTATCATAAGCAATGCTCTCCAGAATGGGGTAAGAAATCTGACACCTAGATAAAGAGCTTTAACAGTGCAAGTAAGAACTTCCAAATGCACCATGGAAGCACTGGAAAAAAACCAAATCCCGCATATCAAAAACCAACAAACCAGAAAAATTAAGATCTGCATTCCTTTAAGGAAAGCTGACTTCCCTGTTCCTTTGTAAAGAAAAACTAAGCTCAGACTTCTTAAAGCAAGCAAGCAGGTACAAGTCTACGAGTAGAGGTAAAATAATTAATAAAGATACATTTGGAGTTTTTGTATGTCCTGCTATGAATTTGTGGTTACTTAAATGAGACTCAGAATATGTTACGAAAATATTTCAACTGCAACTATGTTTTCTAATTAGTGAAAGTCAAACTTTCCCACTAGGGTATCTTCAGAAAGTGTATATGCACTCCATGGATAGAAAAATAGGCAATCCAAAAGTCAAGACACAAAAATCAGCATGGAAGTGTGGAGTTCCCTCTACAGGTTCTCCCTTGAAATTTCATGGTTTGTTGATCTTTATTCAGTGTTCGCTTCGAACATTTTCACTGCAGGAAAGCTAGCAAGATAGTTTTCTCAATGAAAGAACATGTTTTAAAAGAGCTCTCGAAAATTATAGTTCTAGTCATTTTAAGAAAGCCAGCTATCTCCTACCATTATAAATCATTACGTTTGACACAACTCTTCAACCATGCCTCCTCTCTAAGTGCTATGCTGTGTGGAAACACATCTAGTTTTAGAGTGCTGAATAAACCCTAAAGCTCACTTATGAGTGAGATTATGTTACTATCTATTATTTGCAACGCAACTAGTATTTTGTTGAATGCTGAGGCATGGTACTTCCTCAACAATAGAAATGTTTTACTTGGTGAGAATCACTCAGCATTTCTTCTAATGGCCACAGATATTAATTATGGGCTAAGACAGTCCAGGATCCTACTGCTAAGATACACATTCAAAAAATAAACCCAAAGAATATAAGCTTATAAATGGAGAGACTATTCTGTATCCTTTCAACAGGCCAGACTTCGAGGAAGACATTTGAAACCTAAAGCCTTTATCAAGATTCTACCTATGAAGAAAGGTACAGAAGAGCTTCACATGAGATCCATGAAGCAGAAAGGACATCCTAAACCAACTACATGCTCATTCCTTAACTTGTGACAGCAAAATTAATCTGATGTTTGATCACTGAAATTTTGACAGGTGCTAGAAATATATGGAGAGGGACAAATATTGTCATAATTATTAGTCAGTTTTAACATTTTACTCGTGGAACATTCTTTACCTATGAATTACACAGAGGACCGAAAGCCTTCTGTCAAAGTCCTAGGTCACTGAACTGCATAGTTCAGTTTACCCTTCCATTCTTAGGAACCAGCTCTGTTCTTCAGAAAGTCACTTCCTTAGAGTCCAGTTTTTGGCTCTAGCTTCTCAACTTATGTCCTGGTGATCTTTTCCTTTCACATCATTAACTTTTCCCATCTTACTTTAGAGTTCTATGATAACTTGAAATATGAACTACAATAGTATGAATTTCATATTTATATTTTAATAATTAAATTTATGCCTTTTGATCATTCAAGAACTTCTGACCTAAAATAGCACATACATTCACTCCTCACACCTTCATGCCACCCTTCGGAAAGGAAGAAAAAAATACACCAAAAAGTATTTACCTTGTGGACGTGCTTGCCTTCTCCACTGTGGACATGAGTCTTGCAAATGCATCAGTCACTCTGTTGCTTGCATTGGAAGTTTCCAGTTTTGAGGTTGTCAATTCATACAACTCAGGATCCACACCTTATAGTATAAAATGATAATCAGTGATGGTTGGAGGCAAGTATAGCCATAATTAGCCACAGACCAACTTGATAGAGACTGTTTTCTGTAAACATCTGAATCATTTATAATTTCAAGATACATGAAAAGAACATGACAGAACATGGCTGCATTTCTGAAACATTGTCCTCTCTCCCCATCCCCATCCCTTTTTCAATAGTTTTTAGAGTTGTACTATAAAACACACGCATATTGGATCAAGTCTGGCATACAAGGTCTCAGTCAGAGTAAACAAATTTGATTTACCTTTTAGAGTAAAACACCTGTAAAATGTCAGCTGTGTTAAAATGGATTGTTTCAATTACTTCAACTCAACTGTTTGTATTTAAAGAATGCTGCATGTTAACAGGGACAAACTCTTGAACAAGAGAGTACACACAACACTGGCATGCATTAGAGTGCATTTAGTATCTTGCTTGTCACAAGAGGTTGTGTTATAAATTTAAGTGAGGAAAAGCAGCTTTTATGATACATACAAGTGGAACGGCATTAAAAAGTTACATACTATTAATATGTATAATGCTACCAAAACGTTTAGTTTATGCTCCCTTTTCATCTTTCAGATATTTATAAAGCATCACATATCTGGGTGCTTCAGCCTTGATTTTGTAGTTCCAGATTAAGATTTTCATTTTAAGTCAGATGCTGAATTTTGACATCACTTACGTTGCGAATAGATTTCAAATTTTGTCAGTATAGGTCATTCTGAAAACAATGCAAACAATGGAAACCTGCACCCCAAAAAAAATACATACATATGGGTGAAATTCTACCTGTTTAATATCAATGCATCACGTCTCAGTTGGAAGCAGCTCTAGAATTTTCAGATACTAATTAAGTTTTCTTTTAAAAAGTCTCTAGGAATTAGAATTATCAAAATAAATCAACATGTAAGACTGTTACAACACATTTTGTTGTTCAGAAGCATTTTCAGTTAGTGATATTCCTCTAGTTATAATTGCAGCTATTTTATGCTTCGTGGGTTTAAATGGAGCATGCATATGCACCATCCACAATTATAAATATTTTTCAAAAACAGCATAAATTTTTTTTACAGTATTGTGTTTTATAGACACCTGTGTTATAAACAAGTGTAACACTAGTTGCAGATGGTTTGGACAACAAATTTCATACAGGTTTCACACTACTGCAAGACAAATGTTGCAAATACTCAGACACAATGGTCCCACGTAGCTACCTAGTAAAACCAGCATTTATAAACTTACGTGCTGATTATTTTACCCACTTTCCTGAATCAAGATACTTTTAGAAGTACTCCTGAAATACCAAAAGATTACTAAATTTAAAAAAAAAAAAAAAAAAGCCTGTGCCTGTTGCCTTTTCTACCCAGTAACTGCAGTACTACATGCTCAAACAGATGAGATGAATAATCCTCATGCCTGTTTTGCATGACCTCTTCTCAACCAGTGTCTTGATGATTTGTCATTTGTGCACAAATTAAATACTCTTTCATTGTCAGAAAACTAAGCCAACCAAAAAGTAAAATTAAGAAAATCATCTGGTTAAGTTGCAGGAGGTATGGGGGGGAAGGGGGCGGGGAAAAGATTAGCTCCATTTAATGATTTGATCAGAAATTAATCAACTCTCCTTTCAATGCACTTTTTAAAAAGTCTGGATTCTCAAAGTTAATTTCATCCAGTTTCGTGTAAAACATCAAAATATGTACTGTCCTGAGACCAGTATACCAAGAATAAGTATTGTCAGATGTTTACAGAACTTGGAAATAGGAAAAAGCCCAACTATTCCATAAAATATCGACTTTCAGTCAGGGAGACGAAGACTTGAAGAAATACACTTTGACTCTCAGAAGCCTGCGAAATCCCATTAAGGTACAAATTGTAAAACTAATTGAAACGAGGAGTCCTTTGACATGCAACTCTGCAACAAATGTTAAATGCAACCTTGTAAGTTACACCATTTCAGTATTCACATTTATGGTCCTGAATTAATTTTCATTGTAGTGTGATGTCACTGCTCAATTTACTGTTCTTAGTCACCTCTTACTCAGTAACATTCATGTTAAACTATTAACAGGAAAAATAAAAAACAACACACCACATCTGTGGGAACATCCTAGAAATGAGTAACTCCCTGTTTGTGATGCAGAATGCAAATTTTTATAAAAAAGTTATTATGGCTACTGATGAAATCTGACTGAAAAGAATAAAGCCCAGATCTACAGTAAGTAAAATTAAGGTCTTCAGAGAAAGAACAAACTTCTACTACTGATAAAAGTTTCTTCTTTAAGCCAAAAGACCTAACAATTTGTCTTTCAATTATTTTATTTCATTTTAAGAGTTGCATATTCTCCATTTTACTCAAATGATTAGAGAATATTTCGGGAAAGCACTGCAAAACCTTAATGAGATATTGAAGGAAGGTTAGCCAACCAAACCCCACACAAAGCTCTTAAACACACACACAAACACACGAGCTGCAAGCCAAGAAAGAAATGACTTTCCCAGAAACAAGTCAGGAGGAAAGAAAAGCCAAAACCAAAAAAACCCCAGAAATAGGCACTACATGGCACACCAGGGAAGGTGGTAATACCTGTAACTTGATGGAACAACAACAAATATGCAGGAAAAGGCTAACAGGGTATCCCTCCAGCAATCACTTCAAATGCGCACACCATCAGGACACAAGATTGTACCCAACTGCACAAGCAGTACATGTACTGGGTACTGACAACTTTTATGTCCATAGACTTGCACACACTTACAAAAGAATCTGCAAGACTCAAGCATCTTGGATTTGCTACCTATCACTTTTGCAACAAACGTGCCATCTTTCATCTGATAACAACATCTCTCAAGAGTGCAATAAAAAGGCTTTTGGAATGCAATACTGTAAAATGGCCTTCAATGATCAGATTGCAAAACTAAAAAAGCAGGTTTTTAAAAACAAAAAAGACAATAATAATTATAAGCACTTATTTGAAATGCAGGAAAACTCCAAGCCCCTTATTTTTTTTTTTAAATGAAAAACCCTAATAGGAAAAAACCCCGTCCTATGAAGAGTGATTATCATGGCTTCAGGCATTGTATTGAAAGAGCATTTGCCATATCCACTTAACCTACACACTGGGATAAATCCCCAAAATGTTCCCTTAAATTTCTGTAAAAATTTACTCAAAGTGCAGGTTTTCACAAGCTCATGCAAAATACTCAGAACATGTCAAAACCATGCAATAAATGAATTCAATTATTTTCACATATTATTCAACAGAGACAGTGGTGGTTTTGTCTCCTTTTAAGGGAATAGGTTGCAGATAAAGTGCTTTGGTTTTATAATTAACATTCATGAACTTCTGATGTCCCACAAACATGCAACTATCCTTGTTTTCTATTATGAATGTTGTTAAAACACTTTTTTCACTTTATCATTAATATTGGTAGTTCACACACAGAAAAAATTTACAGCCTTCCGGTAGCAGCAAACACCAGCAGGTTTGTGATATGTTAAGCCCCACAACTTTATATTCACACATAACTTCCAAATAACATCGTAATCCTATAATTTGGAGGCACTCAGTCAGAAGAGAGAGCAAGCCTCGTTTTTTTGGAAATCACCACATCTACAGCATTTTTCAATTTTTCTTAAATGCTTAGAAAAGCCAACTTTCAAAATTTCTGATTTGAAGCAAGTGTTTTAACATTGTATTTGCAAAAGCATAAGAGTCATTCATTTCTTCAGCATGTGACAAATACAGAGCTGACAGTACCTTTTAAATACTTTACACTCTATACAAAACGTCAGAAAACAACACAAATTAAAGGAAAAAATGCAGTAGGAAGACATTTTAGAGAAAGGCAACGTAAAATTTCTCCTTGTTTATAGGAAAGTCAAGTGATGTGCTCATGCTTTAGCAACTCGTTATAATATTACAGTTGTGGTTTTAACACTCTGCTGACCTGGGATTGTGGTGGTGCTGCTAGAGCTACTGTCATCCACGGGCCCAAAGAAATCAAGGTTCAGAAGAGTGGAACCTCCACTAGCTTGAAATTCAGTGACCGTGTTGGTAGGCAGCCATATAGAAGGTAAGCCAAGGGAGGGGTTTATGTGTAAAAAGGGGTAAGACACACACTTGAACATGCAAGTTATAATTAGTACTCAGTACGCAATTTAAAAATTGACATGAAAACAATGCTTACAGTATTAGTTTGTACCTTCTAAAATGTTAACAACTTAATTCAGTGCATATTTCCTCATGTACAATGCAGCAAGGAAATCAACACTAGTAACTTGAAAATAGAAATATTTATTTCGATCTAAAAATGAAAAAGGAGAACCAGCACGACCCAGAGAGAAAGATGTGATCAGTTAAAGGGAAACAATATATAGGTCAATTGATAGTTAGAATATAGTGGGCTTTTTCTCCCCTTACTGAAATTGAAAGCCATTCTTTCACCAGGAAGACTTAGCAGATCCCCGAATAGCAAAGCACCAAAAAAACCCCCCCCAACCGTTAGAGTTTTATTTAGCAGCTTTAAGCTATTAATTATAATTATCTTACAGCAGTATGATCACCAGGTAACAAATACCATTCTTATATCCAGTTCCTCACTGGTAAGTTATACTGTTCCCCTTTAGTACTAAAACATAAATCAAACCAAGATACATTTTAAAGAAGTTGTTTGTTAAAAAGAAAGCATGATGATTGACTGAAGTAATAAGACACCAGACAACAGCAAAAGGGTCCATCCAGGCTTTCCTTCAGCACCATGATATTGCTATCCAAACCATTATATCCTGCACATTCTGAAACTACACCATGAGGCAACACCAGTGCAGTAAGAGATGCAGTTTCCTTTAGCCTGCTTTTGAACAACTTGTGTTATGAATTAATTGCTGTTAGCAGGCACCTCATAAAGGTATCAGTTTGTTTACAGGTTTCTAGTTTGTCAATCAGACAAGTTTCCAAAACTTGTTTTATTTCCTTTCCATGCACTTACATTTCTGAAACTGGAGGCGGTGGCACAACTCACTTTGCTATTAAAATAGACATAGGCAAAGGGTCTTTCATGTGATAACTATATACATTTACAGATACAAATAAGTGCGTAGCTACCTCTTTAATTTAATATTAGCTGTAATTAGCTCTTGAGTGTAAGCACAAGTGCTAACAGATGAAGTCGCATTTTCGAACTATAAAATTATCTGTAAATCTGAAAACTTTCAGCTCAAGAAGTGTATCTTTTGCAAACAGTTTGTGGTTAAAATATTGTGCTTTGAAGTAGCCACTATACACATTTGTCATTCAAAGGATGTCCAAAGAGATAGTTCATTATTGAAAAATGCTTTTAAAGAAGTAAACTTGTTGATCTAAAATGCTTATTTGTTTCATTATAACTTGCGGTTACACATAATAAAGTGTTAATATTGCCACTGTGTCACTAACATATGGCAGGAATCTAAAATAATACTTAACTTAGAATTTTTCAGACAACATAATACTTCACATATGGGCACAGTTAATCAGAAAGAAAGCCTGAATTTCCAAAGTTAGGAGTAAGAAATAAATATTTTATATATATATATATATATTTATATATGTGTGTGTGTATTAAAAAAAATAAATCAGCAGATAGATGTTTGTCTGAACTTTGTAGCTTTCTTATCTCTAGCTCTGGTGCTAGAGGCTCTACGGAGAGACGTACCATCTAAAGGGTTAGTAAGGCCACTGCTACTCCAGTCAAACTGGACAGGTGGTAGAGATTCCTAGAGTTGAAAAGTCAGAAATCAGATTTTATAGTCAGTTCAGGTTACAACAATGCAAAGCAGTTCAAACAACAGATTCTTTAGCGTCTAAGTACTAAAAAGACAACTAAATGAGCAAGCCCCAACTTTTGGGAGGCGTTTATTTTCATTATATGCACTAAAGATTCAAAGTAGATTTGTTCTACTACAGGAAGTCTCATTAAATTCTGAACAGTACAGATTAGGTTAACTTCTAACTCAAACAGGATTTGCAAATTAACTAAAATATATGAATTAGATAAAAAAACCTTAAGGCATAGTTGAAAGTTAAACTACCATTACTTTCACAGAAGACAAGGCATTTTGCATAAAGAGTTATGTATACACAATTATAGGGCAAATTTAGAACAGGGTTATTAGTGAAAGCTGTCTGTACATCCATGCTTTGTCCTGATTATATGTAAAATCAGTTATTTACCAAACAGCCCATGATTCTTTTGGTTTGTTTTACTTTTAAAAGACATAGTCCCTACATGTGAGGGATGAACTATCAACACCTTCCCCACTCCACCCCCTTTTAAAGAATGAAAAAAAAAAATCCTGTGATTTACTAAGCTTTAACAATTAACTCATTTCAACATATAAAAAAAGCCATTGGTAACCATGTTTGAACAAGAGGAGCACTGAAACATTGACTCCTTTTCTGGGAGCCCATCCTTGCTTTTTTCCTCTTATTTCCTCTTGTGGAGCCTTTTGCACACACACAGGTAAATCAAGCAAGCAGCAGGGACCATGCTTTACAGGGAAAGTGTGCTCAGGTGCAGTGCAACTTGCAAGTGCTGTCCTCCTCTATTCTCAGGACACAAACTGATGGGACAGTATCAGAAATGTCTGAAGTAAGTTGATCTTTCTACTTCTGTGCATCACATTTCTGATCTCTCCCCAGTGAGGTCAACTGTCAAGTAGTACTGGGAAAGGACATGCCCTCAACTTCTAACAGAACAATCACACTTATGGAAGAAAAGCAATGGAAGTTCTCTACAGCATTGTTCAAATGCATTACTAGATGTCAAACTTCCAGTGCCTTTTCTTGGCTTCTGTAGAAAGTTAGGCTTTATTTATTATTTTTTTTTTTAACTTTTAAAACTTACAACTATCCAACACAAAAAATATTCAGATTTACAAATCAAGACTGTAACAACCTGAGCTAGCATTGTATAATTAAGCTGTGAGGCTTTTGCTAGGTGACAGATGTTTACAGAAAGAAAAATGAGGGGAGCTGGTGATTTCTATATTTACTTATAGTAAATGCCTTGCCTAGAAAAATCTTTCCTACCTAATGACTTGAAAATATTTCCTGTACTGAGCACAACTAGAACAGTATTCGCTCCATGGAGCATAAGGAGCTGATGCTACACTTTCTACTTTGCTTTGGTAATGAAATTACTGGCAATGGAAACATAATGTTAGCAGTGTGGAAGCTACACCTGATGCAGTAATGATCACTATCATCAGCAGCTTGTTTAAAGTTTGTCACATCTAAAATATATTAATATTAAAAGGAGTTTGTACGGGGAAAAAAAAAAAAAAAGGAGGCAACTATTAAAATTTAGTAGCTTTCTGCCCTGAGGAAAATGAAGTCAAACTGAAACAAAGCAGCTTCCCACCAACTCTCACTGAGGAAAACACCCACTACATTTTCTGTCAAAAGACTGAGTCAGAACTGATGAGTGTGACAGAATTGCACAGAAAAGGTGGTATCAACAGCTGGCTAAGCTCTTCCCTTTAATGATGACTTGATTCTCAAATTTGCCAAGGAGAGAACATAGGATGTGATTTTTCCTAAAATGGAGGAGGAAAAAATCTGACTCCAAATCAGTAAGAGTATATTAGTCCACTCTGTGGGATGAGGCTGTTCTGTTGATTTCAACCACTTGCAAAAGAGGGGGGTGGCAAGTAAAGAAGACCCCATCTATACAGGATGCTGGCAAGCCCTGGTCTATACAGCAGCAAACCAAGTGAAAGGAGAAAGTAGAGGCAAAAGCCAATTAAACAGAAAGGAAAAGTTTTCTGTTTCTAGTGACATTGACCCTAAGAAAAACTAGCTATACTGGGACATCTGAACACAGCATTGAGATCTCAGACAACTGGAACATGCCCCGAAAATGGGAATGTAATGTTTTGTCTTTCAGAGATTCAAGGTTGCTAGACTACTGCATTTGCAACCATTATTTTAATAACATGCTTCAAGGAAAAATGCCCAACCTAGAAGAATATCAAGCATTGGGGCAAACTGTTCTCACTCCTCCCTCCATCTTAGATTACAGGATATGGTACAGAAATGAAAAAGTATACCCAGCTGTCAGAGTACTACTCTGAATGTTAAGGAAGTGAGAAAGAGGGAACTAAAATGCGTGCTGGTTTTACTGCATCATATTTCAATTTGATAAAAGTGAGAGATGTTTTCACACAGTAATTTTAGGATGGTATTATGCAAGAGCTTTTATAATCCAAAAGAGTAGAATGTAAATGTTTGTGCCAATAATTACCCGAGGAATATAAAACTAAATAAAAAAAGAAAGTATTTTGCTGTCTTAAAGCTGGGGAAAAAAAACCAGAAGTGCTTGTAATACAAATATAGTATCAATATTTAGATATATTCCACAAATACCCATCATAAACATTTCAGAAAAAGGTTTACAAGGAAGTAATTCAAACATTTCATTGTGTGTATTCATTTGCAAAATTACAAATGTTCTGAAAATTATTCTTTTCCGACAGTTCCTTTAAGTGACTGTCACATCTGACAGAACAGTTCTGGAAGATCTCTTACCTGCAAATCTTTCCCTCTTATTCTGTTAACAAAGTTACATATATTCTTGGATCTTTCTTGTATGTATAACTGGAGAGGAGTTCCATGATGGAGCATTTGGCTGGTGGCTAATAATATGGTAGTTTGCATCTGTCATTTTTAGAAGTCCTGATGGTCCCTTATGCCATTAAAAGTGTTTTTGAAGACTGTCACCCCATGGGCTCTAATTAAGGTTCAATCCCTAATAGCCAGCAAGTGTAGGCTGCATATTTGTATTATAACCTGATCCCTAGTTCAGTAGCTTGCTTGCATGCATATGTGCTGTAACAGGCACCCACAGAAAAGAACTACTGTTAATTTTCTTCCAGAAAGGTCTGGGTCAGTGTAGATTTCTATTCCAACATAAAACTTACTAAGCCAGCTAGCTGGGACAAAGCTATCACTAGACTCTACCAAAAAAACATAGTCCCAAATAGAGAGAAGGGCATGCTTTGCAGCAATAGTGAAGCAGCAGAAATACTCAGGTAACTTTTTTCAAGAAAGACAAAGAGAAGCAGGTAAATAAACTTTAAAACTTTAACCAGAGAACAAGATCAAATCAAGAGAAAGCAGTCAACATTTAAGTCCAAACAGCAACTTTTTTAACAAGCACTGGAACATATTTTAATCGCACTGCCTGAAGACTTGGCGATGGTGTAGAAGCCCACTACAGCAGAGGCTATTTAAAAAAAAAAAAAAAAAAAAAAAAAAA